AGGGAAAGTGAAGGCTTGCTCATCCAAGAAAAGACTCATAGTCTTTAAAAATTACGGGAAGTGTTAACATCTTCTGGGGTGAAATGGTTAGTTATTCTGCTTCTGTTATAGAACTTTCTTTAATATGTCCTTTTTATTTTATCCACGCTCTGGCTAAGGTATGTTTGAATTAGAAAAGGAAAACCAAATGCTCATAAGCTTTTCTTCCATGTATGTTTTGAGCTGTGTTAAGTATGAAAATCTTCTGTACTATCAAGTTTTGTACTTGAGTAACCATAGTCTTAACTGTGTGCAACTGTAGAGTTAGGCTACTTAGGAGAATCATCTCCACAAGTAATGGTTCTTCCACTGTTCAGACAGCTGGTGTGTGCTACATCTGGATGAACACCGGTTGCTTCCCTCCACAGAAAGGAAGTTCTTAAAAATGGTGATGCCTATAAAGGTAACCTTTAGGAGATAGAAACAAGAAATTGTTATGGTAAGGCGTAGTGAACAGCTTGCAATGACACTGGAAACTGCAGTGAAGGAATACAGAAGATGTGTGTAAGACTTCTGCACTTGTGAAAAGGGTTCCACTGTCCGTGATGATTGCTGCAAACATCTTGTGCTGGTTTTGGCTGGGATAGAGTTAATTTTCTCCATAGTAGCTAGTATGGGGCTATGTTTTGGATTTGTGCTGAAAACAGTCTTGATAATACAGAAATGTTTTTGTTATTGCTGAGCAGTGCTTACACAGTCAGGGCCTTTTCTACTTCTCATCCCACCCCACCAGTGAGTAGGCTGGGAGTGCACAAGAAGTTGGGAGGGGACATAGCTGGGACAGCTTGCCCCAACTGACCAAAGGGATATTCCATTCTGTATGACATCATGCTCAGCATATAAAACTGGGGGAAGAAAAAGGAAGGTTGGGGACGTTTGGCGTTGTGGTGTTTGTCTTCCCAAGTAGCCATTAATGTGATAGAGCCCTGCTTTCCTGGAAATGGCTGAATACCTGCCTGCCAACAGGAAGTGGTGAATGAATTCCTTGTTTTGCTTTGCTTGCATGTGCAGCTTTTGCTTTACCTATTAAACTGCCTTTATCTCACCACATGAGTTTGCTCACTTTTACCTTCTGATTTTCTCCCCCATCCCACTGGGGTGAGGAGTGAGCGAGAGTCTACGTGGTGCTGAGTTGCCGGCTGGCGTTAAACTATGACACATTTCTAACCACAAAGCTCCTAGCAGATGAAGACTCAACAATGGGATCATCCTTTTGACTGTAGCTGCTCAGGACAGAGACCCACTGCTGTACAGAATTGTTCTGTTGGTACCTTTGTTGGTGAAAGATGGTTCTTGGGCAGCTTCCCTTATTTCCTGTCCTCAGTAAGCACGTTAAATGACAGCACCGTACTGAGTATCAGAATATATAAGTACAAAGCAGTTTTAAATGTAAGCAGCTGTTATCTTGATTAAATATACTGGAATGCCATTTTTATATTTCCTTGCAGAAATTTGGGCTTGAAAAGATGGGGCTCTTGGTTTTCTGTAACATTTTGATAGTATTAGCTAGTTAAAACATCTTCAGTACTGTATCCTACTAAGACAAGAAAAAGCTACTGTTGTGAAGCCTTTCTAAGGAATTTGTATGAAGAGAAGCCTGTACTATCTTGACATGTACTAAACCCATAACTAGTCAAACTTGAGAGGTGGAAAAAGAGCAATTAAATGCTCTAGTCTCAGATACTTCTTTGGCCTCCTCTCTTTGCACAAGAACAATGGCAATAGGAAGGATTAGCTAAACAAGTTACTTACTACTTGGGACATGCCAAACCAGGCAGACTGCAAAGAAAGCGGTCTGCGGAAGAACAACGGTGTAGTCTTAGATACAAACTTGCTGGTTGTCCTGTCTTTTCCTTGGGGCTTCCATGTTGTGATACTTGAAAAGAAGCAAGAGCAGAAGAGTTCATATGGATTTATTTTGGTACCACCTGGTACAGTTCTTCATAGCATAAATATGTTGCCTTTAAGATGGTATCTAGATAAGTTCACCACAAATAAATGTGCTGCATGACATAACAGCACTATCAAGAATTCTCAGTAAAACTAAATAGCAGTTTTTACCAATGAGAAATTTTCCATGCACCAGTGTATTTCAAGTTGTGTGTGAAAAATCTTGGATCTTTTCTGGCTAACAAGTATTTTCTCATTACTAATCCACTTCTAATAAATGTGGAGGCTATTCACAATTGGCACAAATAACTTATTGTTATGATCCAGTACTGGAGATGAAATAGTAGATTATCTGTATTTTTCAGTGCACTGTGATACAGCAATGGGAATTTGTGTAGGAACAGAATTTAACTGTTTCTCTGCTGAATTTCTTATCAGTGTGTGATAGAATTGTCAACATGTAAATGTATCTAATTTTTCTTTTATAGTGCAAGTGAACACCATAACTGTGTGTTCTTTGGACTGATTAGATAAAAGACACCATTTTGATTAAAAAGTTGTGTTTGTAAGAGCATTTCTAATCTGAGATGCTAAAACCTTCTCTTTTCTTTCCCCTTTTGTTACACCCCCTCCAAATCAACAGTGTGTTAGTGTTGTTTACTGTTTATGAAGATCTTATCGTACATGTATTGCTGCTCTAAAGTAGCGCTAGTGCATTTTTCTCCATTCAGTATGTGACTTGAGTAGAACCATTGTTTCCTCATGAGCAGAAGCATGAAAAATACTACGCCTGCTTTATTTACAGCTGAGACCACAGTGGTGCTTTCTTAATCTTGCATTAACAGGCTGAGCTTGGAGCCTTGTGTAATGGAATTCTTTTGTGCCCACACTTTGTAATATCTGGTCTCACTGGTGCTTTATCAGGCACCCACTAGCGCTGATAACCAGCAGTAACCTTTCAGTTATTACATTTTGCCTGTGCTTCAAAATATTTTCCTAAGAAATATTGCATAGTGTGGAGAGACAAGACACACAGAACAAAACTTTCTTGTGTTCATAGTGTGCATATCTTGGAGCTGATCTGGTAACTGATAACTCAAAATAATCAGTTGTGAGCCACTGCCTCCTTCCCAGAATACAACAGGCTGAGCAATGGGCTTATTTGAGCAAATAATAGAATGTGTAGCGATCTTGTGATGGTTGAGGTTGGAAGTGACCTCTGGAGGTCACCTTGTTGATGTGTGCAGGTTCTACCAGTACTTGCCCAGCCATGGTCATATGCTGAAGTATATAATTGCCTCTTACACAAGATTCTAGGATATTCTCCACGTCCTCTTAAAACCTAAATGTGCAATAAATGAAAACTTCTAGCTTGTTGAAAAGAAAAAGTGTTGTGACTCAGTATTACAGCATTAACTACTTCAGTTGCATACAATGTTTCAGTATTTTAGCACATGAAGATACAGATTTCTTCTAGCCCTTCCTTGATCTTCCCTGACCAGTCTTTGCAAAGAACAATTTAATTGTTTCTTATTAGAGACATGACATGCCTTTTTGTAAAAGCAGATGATGTTATAAAATGTTGGCAGTTTTCTGGCTAAAGCATAAAAACTGCTTAGATGATGTAAATGGGAGTCATTTTATGCAATGCTTTAAAATTGAGTTTGTTGCAAGTATAATGTGATGCTTTTCTATGGAAAAACAAGAATAGATTTTATATGAAGGAATAATAATATACAAGTATGTTGTTGCATACTTGGTTGGAGGTTTTGTTGCTGTGGTTGTGAACATCTTTATTAATTTGTCCTTTGTTTCAATGTATCTTTTTTTTTTTTACACACACACATCCCCCCATTGTCTGGGGGAGAAGCAGGGAGAAACTTGTGGTAAGTGCTGCTGGAAACAGCAGCATATGATGAGGGAGACATTAATACCTAGAAAGAGATTTGAAGCTTATTCTTACATTTCTAGGAAAGTCATCTGAAGGATGAGTTCTCAAGGGTATGGGAACAGGGCAGTATTAAGGTCATTCTTTTCTGTCGTGAGCTTCAGGTGTGTCTGAGTTTGGTGAGGAGCCCAACTGGAGGGCTTTCCATTTCCTCAGTCCTGTTTCAGGCAGGTCAGCATAGCCTCAGTAAATGAGTGTCTTGTAGCTATATGTATTAAATTAAAACTAATTTATTATTGTTCTAGTTCTTGACATAGAGGTGCTAGAGGTAATTCTATGTAAAATCTTAAATGTAGCAGCATGGTAATTCTGTTTTTTGTCCTCACTGTTCTTCTTAACACTCTGAATGGATCACACACCACTTCTTACTTGATTTGGTTTGAGTGTCTGAATACAAATAATCAGCAAATCAATAGATTCATCTGGTCAAAGGTTGTGCAAACCTCTCAAGAAGTTACAGCCATTGTTCTGTTCTATCCAGAAGACCTGCATTTCAGCAAACTGTCTTAATTCCCAGTTAAATTTCTTTTGTCCTCTGTTTAATGTATATAATGTAGCACATTATATATAGATACGTACACACACATATATGTGTTATATACATATAAAATATATATCTAGTTTTTTTCCAGTCTCTTCCAGAAACAAGAAAATATTTAAGAAAACTATCTGTTAAAGGTAGTGATCTGCAAACTGATCATGATTCTGCCTACTGGTGGAAAACATCTACCATACAGTATCTCCAGAACTGTTGTAGGTACACCTCTTTTTATGAGAACTGCATAATGCAGAGTCAGTGACAGAAGCACTGACAGAAGTCTGTGCTAATGACTTCTGAATAAAGTTGACATAATGTGATTTTTATTTTTTTAATCTGTTTGTATGTTTACTGCTGATGGTAAGGGGATATGGATGACACCATAAGTGGCAGTTCTATAAATATTTCCTCTGGACTCATTAATGTATGAGGAGGAATTCAATAAAGTATCTCACATTGAACTTTCTTACTGTGTCCGTTCAGCACAGAACATACTCTTGAAAGCATAATTTGTATCTAGTCTATTTTGTGTCCTATTTAGCAAGTGGGAGCTGTTGTGGTTTAACCCCAGCTGGCAGCTAAGCACCATGCAGTTGCTCTCTTACTCCTCCCCCTGCCCCCAGTGGAATGAGGAGGCAATTCAGAAAAAAAACCCCAAACCCACAAAAGGTAAAATCTGTGGATTGACATAAAGACAGTTTAATAGGACAGCAAGGGTAGAGAAAATAGTAATAATACTCATAAAAGAAAATACAAGTGATGCACAGTACAGTTGCTCACCACTTACTGACCAATGCCCAGCCAGTTCCTGAGCCATGGCACATGTGGCCAACTCCCTCCAGTTTATATATAGATCATGACATCATATGGTATGGAATACCCCTTTGGCCAATTTGGGTCAGCTGTCCTGGCTGTGCCCCCTCCCAGCATGAGACACTGATAAATCCTTGACTAATGTAAGCACTACTTAACACACTGATGTTTTAGTTGTTATCAACATTATTCTCATACTAAATCCAAAACACAGCACTATACCAGCTACTAGGAAGACAATTAACTCCATCCCAGCCAAAACCAGGACAGGAGTTTTGCCCTTCACCTCATTGGGATTGAACCTCTAATCACTTAAATGTTTTCTAAGCGCTCTGGGATGTAGGCTGTTTCACAAATACTGCTTAAGCTGGTTTGTTGAATAGTGTTCTCTGAATGGTATTCAGGGTCTTTCTAGTATATTCATTCTTTATACTTGTTGCCTTGGATAACTAACATACTTTGCTTAGAGTGCTTCCTGCGGATTTCTTACAGCACGTGTAGTGTATTACTACATATATATGTAGTAATATATGTACATATATATGTACATATACATAAAGAGTGTAGTAACTATTTAAGTTGAGTTTAAATGTCTAGGTGTTTGCCTGGCTTGGCAAAACAAAACTGCCTCTTGAAAAGCAAGCATGCAACAAGTGTGTGTACACATATATTTTTAATATATAGAGGACAGTTAAGATTTCTGCACTGTAAGTTGAATTGTAAAGAAAAGCCACAAGTTAGTCTTTATCCATAGGACTGATGATTTCTGCACCTGTCATCCCTCCCTTTTTAACAGGGAAGTATGTTTGGGCAGAGAGTTCTCTTGCCTCCTTCCCCCTGACATGCCACTCTCCCACCCTCCTTTCTAGCAGGATCACCTTACAATGAATAGTGGAATAGTTTGCAGGGAAGTGAATAATTTATTTCCTGAAAAACTGATCTAATAACAGCTAAGTCTGAACTACAGGAAATGCTATAAGCTGAGACCAGTAACTTGTGTTAGAATAGTATACACTTTCAGATTAAGAAGCAAAACTTCCTGTTCTGTAGAAGCTACTGCATTTGAAATAGTTTAGCTCTTTTTCTAAAAGACCAGGTATTTGTTTCATAGAGCTGTAGAACTGATTTTTAAAAGTATTTATTACTCTGACTGCTAACAGTTTGCTCTAACTGAAGCAGAATACCTTTGTGTAAGTTTGTTTTATATTCCTTGAAATCTGAAAGATGTGCCTCATGCAAGGAACATAAAGCTTAAAAATTCTGCTGTGTCATCCTTTAATTCTTTAATTTTTCTGTTTGCACAAGTAGATGGGGGTTTTTACAACATGTGTATCAAATGCCCTTTCTACTCAATTAATGACATAAAATCTAAACTTTTTTTTTTCCCAAGGAGCCCTTTGAAGATGGCTATGCAAATGGTGAGGAAGGCACACCAGCTGGGGAAGCAGCTGCCACTTACACACCTGATAGCAAAGGGGTGGTCAAATTTGGCTGGATAAAAGGCGTATTGGTAAGTTTGATATATTGTACTTCAGTTTCTTACAGATATGATCTTTCTAATAATCTTTTTCTTTTTTTTTTGGGAAGTATTGTGTTAGCTCTATATAAAGAAAAGATTATATGTATGAGAGATGTGAAAAATGCCATAATTTTAGGAAGGGTTGCTCTTACTTGTATTGAATTGTAAGGGAGTAAATCTTCAGGACTTCAAGTTTTGAAGGGGTCATGGTTCCTTAGCACAAGTTTTGAAGTTGCATAATTTCCAGGAAGGGAAAATAATGTGTAACTATTCATATGTATTAGAAAAATTACATATGAATCTTAAGTGACAAAGACAAATGCAAATGGAGAGAATAACTTAATGTCTGTTCACTTTGGATCTGGAAGGTTGTGGACTGAAGTGTTAGAAAACTTGATTTTTATTTATTTATATTCAGAGAAGTAAAAAATACTGTGTTGAGGAGAGTACCTACCTGTATGTGGCAAAACTTGACCAGGATAGTGTCAAAGTGCTCAAATTTTGTTGAATCCGTTACAAAAAGTTATCTTATCCTAAGCTGTGGAAGTCTTAACACTAAATACAATATAGTCATGGTGGAAAAAAACAGAATCTGCCCCCATTTGGAGTTGTGAAAAATTAAGGGTGATGTGGGGGATTTTATTACAAGCACATATTAATTTATTTTTAATATTTTGTCAAAGAGAAACCATGATGAATACATACTTTCCAAAGCTATAAGAATTTATAGTTATGGCTGCAAATGCAATTAGTTAAAACATACTGAGCTTGAGCATTCAGAATATCTAACTTTAGTTCAATAAACTTCCACTGTGTATTAGCAGCTTCCTTACAAGTCTTGAAGTAGCCATATTTTCTACCTTGGGAGAAGGAGAGTGCCTGTGGTAACTGTGAAACAGGTATTACGGACTTTTGTTGATGTACCTTGACCAAGGACAGAGTTTTTAATTTTAAAGCTGGTATCAAGCTGACTTTGAATTTCTCCAAACCCAGTTACTGTATTGGACTATTTTTGTGAGCAGCAGTTCTGAGTATTGAAGAGTTATGGGATAAATGTTGCTGACCATTTTCTTCCAAAGTCTATTTAAAAGTTTCAAGGAGGATGATACCTTCTTTTTCAGTGGTTTGAAAGTTGCAGTTAGTATTTCCTAGTAGGCATAAGCCACCTGGGTGAATATTTCCAGCTCAAGTGATTTACATTTTGCAAAAGACTCTTTAAATCTTTGAAAACTTTTTTACTTTTGTGATTTGGAGAGGTTCTTGTCTCCCTTCTAGTCATAATGACCAGATAAACTTTTTGTAGTATTGATATTGTATGCTTTAGATAAGAGACACCTAAGACCTGCTGTTAGTCTTCTGTCTAAATCCTGTACAGTGCAAATTCTATTTTATTGAGAACTAAGAGTTTAAAATAGAAGGATAAAAAAAAAAAACCACCCACCACCCCAATCCCTGATCCTGTTAGTGTGCAGCTGTGTTTTCAGATACAAAAGTTCTAGGAGTGGGAAGGTGTGGGCATTGTTTGCTTCTGAAAAAAAAAAAATTAGTAGGATATTGCTTTAGTGCATTTTTTGGGGGAGATGTGAATTTGTGTTGTAGACCTCAATCATTGTAGACCTCACAATGTTATTTTCAGTCGTGTATTCTGTAGTATGAACTTTGGATCCTAGAGGTTGGGGTCTAAATTTATTTTTATTGTTTGGTCAAGACATACTACAAGTGTCAGATACTGAAGTGTTGTAACTTTATGTCTAAGGTAGTAACTTTTTAATCATATTTATTTTCATCTTTTTATTCTTCTTAATCAAATCTAAACTTGTCTAATTAGAAGTTTTATTCTGAAACAATTTGAAAAGTTGTGAGGAAAGACTGCAAGATAACTTCAACATTAAAAACTGAAATGAAGAATTAGTGGAAATGACTGCAGATGTAAGACCTAACCCATGTAAAATTTCTGTTTTACCTTAGGTACGATGTATGTTAAATATTTGGGGTGTGATGCTCTTCATCAGACTATCATGGATTGTAGGACAAGCTGGAATAGGTATGTGTACTAACACTATAATTGTATTTCAGTGACTTTTAAATGTGATCCAAAAGACTTGTTAATCCTGAGCTTACACTTTAAACAGGCATGGAAAATGACCTTAATATTGCCAGTTTTTAAGGTAATTTATCTTTATCAAAACTTTAAGCAGTATGACGTTACTTAGACTTTTTCATTTAGCTACAAGGTATGTAATTTAAAGTTGACATTTGTAAGTCTTCAGTGAACTGTGGAGGTAAACTTTTGATCTCTGGGTATTAAAATCTGCGTATAAACTGTGTAGTGTAAAACCAATGTTCTTCAAAGTCTTAACTTAGTACTGAACTGCAGAAAATCTCTCATCTGCAAAAGGCATGCGTTTCATAGAAGCTCTAGGATACAGCTTTTACCCTTCTGATCAAAGACAACATTTTTGTCCAGTTTGCATCCTGGAAACTTCTCTGTACAAAAAGGGAAGTGAAGAAGCCTTTTGCTTGTCTGTACGGGACCACACAGAGTAAAATTGTCTTGTATTTATAAGGCTAATTCTTTAAACCAAGTTATGCTGAAGATTTCTACATTTTAATACTGGTGGACTTACAGCTTTTTTTCCCCTCTCTTTTTCCATAAGGTCTGTCTGTCTTGGTTATTGGAATGGCCACTGTTGTGACAACTATTACAGGACTGTCTACTTCAGCAATAGCCACAAATGGGTTTGTAAGAGGAGGTAAATCTACTTTCATAAAGCTTGTAAAGCTTTCATCACTCTGAAGCATACACCTTAAGTATGTAACCTCTAATTTATTTTCCAATTTTTTAGCATTAGGGAAAAAACAGTATGGATGGAATGTAGACAAGAGTTAGTTTTTTGAAGTGCAGAGTCTTCCCTATGTTCTGTATTTGACTAAACAGTCATGTAAGTAATGAAAAGTCTGTAATTAGCCTATTAATTTGGTTTGACTAGTGGCTCTTCCACTGTGGAAGAAACATTATCTATTTTTAATTTTTTGGAGACTCATACCCGGGAATGAGTAGGGTCTTAATAATCACCTGCATTTGCACTGGTTGGTTAAGAGTGTGCGTGTATCCTTTTATGTGTTCATGTCCTGAAATAAAACTTATTGATGAAAAAATACATCCTATAAAATGATAAGCTATATCTGTATGAGAGCATACAAAAAGATATTTTTGTTCTATTGTGATTTTTTTAATACACAAAAGAAACTCTACAAACTCTTGATTATCTCCAGCTTTCCTGAGGGTGATGATTTTCATTCTCTTTTATGGTTTATATACTGTTGTGAGCAATTTCTACAAAATAGTTTGGTAAGTGGTTGATGTCTTTGACATGTTCAGACTACTTCATGACATTACAAGACTGTTACTGTTGTAGAAAATGTGGTGGAATTAAAACAGAAGCTTATAAAATTCTCTTAACTGAGAATGAAGAGAAAAACCTCACTATCACACAGTAAGCAGACCCAACAGGAAGGATCAGCTATGAATCTTAGCTTTATGTCAAGCTTGGTTTCTAAATGCCTTTCCTGTTTTTTTTAAATTGTATTATACGTATTGGATTTTCCTGTTCTTATGAGAACCATTTTTTTATTTAGAGTCGCTCTTGCAAAATAATACTTTGTTAGAAAATTTTAACTGCTGAACAGGAAGAACCGTAGAATAAATTCACAGTTGTTCCTATGAAAATCTTACATTACAGTAATGTTTTGTTTTTAATGTTAGCATTCTCGTTTGCAAAGTATGTCAAAGCTGTGTACCTACATATGTTTTGCACAAGAGCTGTAATGCAGTGTAATTAAGGATTTCCTGTTGCAAATTTTTAATGTGCACTCAATTACAACAGGCTGGAGCTTGGAGGATTTTGTTGCTTCTAGAAAGCTTAGCCTTAAATTGGAGGAATGTGCCTTTGCTATTTTTTTTTTTTAATTTTACTCTTCCTTAATGCTGTAGAGACTCTATTTTCCATTTATCATATGCAGTTTGAGATGTTGTATTTGTCAAGCTCAAAAATACAAAACATAGGTTCTGAAAAATAGAGTGGCCATGTGATTGTTTTGAGAGTCCTGTTGGAGGGCACAAAATTCCCTTGACAACAGAGCTTTAAGAAACAGGTCATGGAGGTTTGAAACTTGAGTGGATTTATTACAGTCTATTTTGCCAATTTCTTGAGCCATAGCTGATGAAAACGTATAATAGTAGAACTAAGCACAAATGGTTTGAGTAGTTTGAAATAAGAAGCCCAGTAGTAACGGCTGCTTGTGCTTTACCATTTGTTTTTTAACCGTAGAACTGTTTGCATAGCTGAATAATATGATGTGGTGCATGAGTCAGGGATTACTTCCAACTGATGTCTTTTCTTAAAAACTTGAAATGTATTCCTGAATCTTCAGCATGCCTGTCCTTAAAATACTGAGGTTTGAGTTTTCTAATACATCAGAGGAGATGCAAGAATAACTAACGTCTTGTTCGTGTAAACTTTAAATTGCTGATGACTGTCTATTCTTAGGCTCTTTCATGTAGTGTTTTTTTTGGTCTTTTTCTTTCAGGAGGAGCATATTACTTAATTTCCAGAAGTCTGGGGCCAGAGTTTGGTGGTGCCATAGGATTGATTTTTGCATTTGCTAATGCTGTTGCAGTAGCAATGTATGTTGTTGGCTTTGCAGAGACAGTTGTGGAGTTGCTCAAGGTATATGGATGATAGTTGTTACATTGATTACACCGTCCTTTATGCAGGTTCAAGCTGTCATCTAATCATAGAATCATAAAATGTTTTGGGTTGGAAGGGACCTTTAAAGGTCATCTAGTTCAACCCTTCCTGGCTATAAGCAAGGACATATTCAACTAGATCAGGTTGCTCAAAGCCCCCGCTTGAATGTTTCCAGGGATGGTGCATGTACAACCTCTCTGGGCAATCTGTTCCAGTGCCTCACCACCCTCATTGTGAAAAATTTCTTCCTTATATACAATCTGAATCTACCCTCTTCTAGGTTAAAACCAGCATCTCTTGTGCTATCGCAACAGGCCCTGCTAAAAAGTCTGTCCTCATCTTTATTATAACCCCCTTTAAGTACTGGAAGGCTATAATAAGGTCCTCCTGGAGCCTTCTGTTCTCTAGGCTGAACGACCCCAACTCTCTCAGCCTGCCCTCATAAGAGAGCTGTTCCACCGCTCTGATCATTTTTGTGGCCTCCTCTGGACTCACACACATGTCTTTCCTGTGCTGAGGGCTCCAGAGCTGGATGCAGTACGGCAGGTGGGGTCTCACCAGAGTGGAGTAGAGGGGCAGAATCACCTCCCTTGAACTGCTGGCCACACTGCTTTGGATGCAGCCCAGGATACGGTTGGCCTTCTGGGCTGTGAGCGTACATTGTTGTCTCATGTCTGGCTTTGCATTCCCCAGCACCCCCAAGTCCTTGGCACGGCTTCTCTCAATCCCTTCATCCCCCAGCGTGTATTGATACCGAGGGTTGGCCTGACCAGTTCAAAGACGTGGAATGAGGTTCAAGGTTACTACTGATATATCAGTACAGTACTACTGTAATTCAGTAGCTTTTTGGTAAAAAAAGAAATTATAATTGCTGTCAAATGGAAACTTCCCACATTGTTATCCATCTTGAAAAAACAAAACGTATACATTTGTGGTAAAGTCCAAGTTGGCTGTTGAGAAGAGAGGCAGTACAGATACATAATGCAGAATTGTAAGTTGTTACTGCTGAGATTCTTATTAGTGAACTGTTTCTTCTAAGTGCTAGTCGTTTATATTAAGCTCATTTTCAAAGGACTTCTGCTTATTAAAAACAATTCCTTAAGTTAAACACAACCAAGTATTATTTGTCTGTGGGATTTTTTGGTTATATGTAATATTGAGAGGAACTCAACCATACTCTTTGTAGATGGGAAGAAGTTTAGAATACATGAAAAGAATTAAGAGTAATAGTGAACAACAGGTAATATTCATGCGTAGGTGCGAGATGGTAGCAGTTGCCTTGCTGATTAATCTAATTCTCTGGCAAGTGAAGACAGCCCATTCTCTGTGGGCATAGGTTATGAACAGGAATGATCATTGCTGTTTAGAAGATTCAGTGATTTAAAACAAGGCAAAAAACAAATTAATTGTGTCCATACAGATAATTTAAAATGAGTAAATTTGTGGTATAGAGGTTAACTCTATTAATAAATTACAGTCAATAAAATGCTATTCTGCAGTAGGGAAGAGAAATACTTGATAAAGTATATGACTTTCTTTTTTTTGTTAGGAAAATGGAACGTTGATGGTTGATGAAATGAATGATATCAGAATCATAGGGGCTATCACAGTGGTTATATTGCTGGGTATTTCCGTTGCTGGAATGGAATGGGAAGCAAAAGTAAGGAACTATCATCTTTTCTTTTATTCTCTGCTTTATAATTTTGATTCCACTTTCTACCTCATCTGTTTTGATTTATTTTTAATGTATTTAGTGCACTCAGTATTGCATGCATGGTATGTTAGAAGTCAGTCAGTGGGCAGTTTTTATATAGTATCTCTCTGTCTAGCACTAGTGTGTGCAGGTCTGGACAGCATTTCACACCTTGGAGCACTTTGCTCCACTGGAAGCTTAAGCATCTATGAGAACCTAAAAACCAACATGATCTACTCTTGGTGACACTATCAAGTAGGTCAATGGTAATACCTTCTTCTGGGCAACTACATCACAACAAGAAAAGGTAAGGGCATTATCGTGGGAATTTTCCCTCACTGGGAACTTCAGATGAGCTCTGTGGATGGAAAATATAGGCTGGAGCTGAAGCCAGTCTAAAGTTATGTAGTTTCTGCTAACTCAAAACCAATATTCTTAGCTTCCCTTCTGCTCTCTTCTGGTTTTGTTTTCACTTGGAAACAGCCAGACGGTGCAATGCAATCACTAGGCCCAGCATTGAGAAGTGTTACGAACACTGATGGTGATGAATGTGTAGGAGGGGGAACCTACTTTCCTCATCTTGTTGTGGCTCCATGGTCTTAGGTCAACTCTGATTGTGGAAACAAATACATAAAGATCCTAGGATACCTTAATATAGAGGTTGCCTTATTGGTTTTCTGCTCTGCATTACTAGGCAGTGTAGCTTGCTCACTGTTTCCTGTACCTGGTAGGCTCTTTCCTGAGTATCTGTCCATAGTGTGCTCAGTTGGTCCCCCTTCTCTTTTGATACTTGGTTCACAATAGCTCCTATTTTCTGCAGTGAGAGCCAACTGAAGGAGGTTCTTTGTGTAAATGTTATAACAGTTTCTTATGATCCTGCATCAAGATGATGATGATATTCATAATTGAAATGAGAGAGGGTTTTTTCTTAGTGTTGTTTCCAGCCCTAGAAATAAGGATTGTAGAAGAAGGAAGTGAAGATCAGGTATATTACTTGGATCTACCACAGGGAGAAAAGAATCTACAGAAATTGACTTTGGCATGTACTTTTAAATCAAACAGCACACTTCTGTAAAAATTATTTGCCTTTTTCAGGTAGTTCTTTCGCTGTCTGTAACTTAGTTTGTAATGGTATCTTTATGCAGCCAATTTTGAACAATACTGTGCTCCTTAATCTCAAACACTTAGTTTTTCCTTTGAATGAATTAGTTATTAATCGTCTGGCCACTGTCACTTAAAGTCAGTAGAAATATCTTGCTTTTGCTCTGTAGTGTGAGCAATTCTGTAAAAATAGGTTCCATAGAAATACCGCTGTTTAATGTTTCTATATCAAACCCAAACTGTGGTACCACTTCAGCATCATCCTTATTAGGAAATGGGTAGCTTTCAAAAATCCTGTGCTCAATGCAAAAATCAAGGCTTGTTGGCTTGGTTTCTGCATCATGGAAGGAGGCAGGTAGGAGTGATGGTTAGCAACAGAACCTGTCAAACAGGCACTTCATGTGGGTTAATGTAGAGCTTAGCATAGCAAAACACTAATACTTGCCTTTTGATTAAAGTATCTATGATGTTCTCCTATGCCTTCCCTGTGACTTGGAGAATGCACTGGAAAATGGGACAAGTGGAATGTATAATAATGCCTTTGAAGTAGATCTAAAAGCTAAGAGAGACTGGTATTCCAGAGAAGCCTGCTTAAGAAATGACTTTTCAGAGTTTGTGATCTGTTACTGCTCAACTCCTTGCATTGAAGTCTTAAAAGCTCATTCAGAAAATGCTCTTAGCTTCAGGGAGAAGCCTAGGTTTGTTACTGAGTAAATCCACCTGTGGCAATTACTCTGTGGTAATTTCATGTTGAAGCCTCTGGGCTTATTGAAGACTTCTGTAAGCACTTGGCTGCATCCTTACACCTCTCACCTATTCTCTAGACTGGGCAAAGGAGAGATCTAAATGTGATGCACAAACTGGTTTCTTCAGGTGGTCTTCTAACTCTGCTCTTTGCTGTCATACTCTATCGCTGTACTACCCTGTTTTTTTGCAAGGCTATGTGAACTGAAAACTTTGCTTGTAACAATCAGCAATGCCACAGTACTATTTCGTACTAGGTTCTGATTAATTAATTAAGTTCTTAATTGCGTATTAAAAGCCTGGAAAAAATCAAACTACTAATAGCTTCCTCCGAGCCACTGGCATATGCCTTTATAAGGAATCAAGTAACACAAAAGATAACAGGGCCATGTAGTTGCTTATTTAAATGTAAAACCTGAACCATTTCTTAAATGCCTAGATTTATCTTTAGTCACACTTCTGAGGCGCTGGATGACTTAAAGTACTTCTTGTTCCAAGTGTAGGGTTTATAATGGATTTATTGAATAGTGTCTGAAAATGTAGGTTGTAATGAAAAAAGTCTCAATAAAACTAGAAATTAAAAAGTAATTGTGGTAATCTGCAATTTCATTTCATAAATAAGGGTTGAGAACATGAGAACATAATAATCTACTCCGTTGCATAAAATAGCAAAAAAAAGCAGTTTGATTCCTAATGTAATAAAATTCTTAGTAAAGCAAATATTGTATACTAATGTATAAGGCAGAGTATTATGATCACGGTTAATAAGGCAATCCTCCTAGAATTTGTGTGCATTTAGCTTTTTCTTGTGAATTTCTCCCAATTTACTCAAATCCATTCCTTCTAGATGGCTGATAGAAAAAATAGTTCTTTTAAGTATTTTGTCTTTGGAAGTATAACTTTGAGGGGTATGGTTCGAATGGGTGTTAAATTTACAAATTCTGTTTCTTTATTAAACATACTGATTGGTGTTCTCTCCAGCTTGCCTTGTTTGTTTGTGGAAAAGAAATTGAGAAGACTAAACTAAATTTGGAATCAAGTAAATATTTACCTTTTAGAACACATCATTGAAGCTTGAAACTGAGCAAATTCTTTTGTCTGACTGCAATCGTTATGTTTCAGGCACAGATAGTCTTACTGGTGATCCTCATACTTGCTATTGGAGACTTTGTCATAGGAACATTTATTCCTTTGGATAACAAGAAGCCTAAAGGTTTCTTTGGTTATAAAGGTATGTTGGAACAGCTTTGCAAAGAGGAGACATGCTGTCGTAATTAATTTAAACATCTAAAATAGCTTATAGTTGTGTTTGAACTATATAGAGATTTTTTTTTTTCCTGATTCTTTCAAAATTGTGCAGTTTTGTTCCTTAAAGCTATTGGGCCAAAACTTGTCCTGCCTGCTTAATACCAATTCCATTACATTTAAAAAAGCAGGATGATACTGTGTAAGTACTTTTTGTAGTTTTAAAGGCTGTTTAAGTTTACTGTAACTTTTATTTTGAGTTGAAGTGGTGACTTAAATGTTCTATGCTTAATTTTAAGAAGATCATACAGCTGTGACTTTCAGCTTTTTCATGGAACTAATAATGGGTAATGGGCTAATACTGCAGCTTCTATATGAATATTGATAGACTTACATCTTTTTCTACAGCTGAAATATTTATGGAGAATTTTGGACCAGATTTCCGACAGGAGGAAACTTTCTTTTCTGTATTTGCTATTTTCTTCCCTGCTGCAACTGGCATACTTGCTGGTGCAAATATCTCAGGTGATCTTGCGGTGAGTAGTGAATTAGCAAATATTGTTCACAAACACTGAGTGTACATTTATCTCTGTCGTCACTGTCCACTGACTTTTTTCTTTCAGGATCCTCAGTCAGCCATACCTAAAGGAACGCTGTTGGCCATCTTCATTACTACATTGGTTTATGTAGGAATTGCAGTGTCTGTAGGTAAATAGAGAATGTTTTTAACTTTATCCTTTCACATTCATTCTGAGGGTGTGTTTTGGTACGGTTTGTATAATTCATTATGTAAAGTCATTATGTAATTGACTTCATGCATGAGAAAGTAATATCCAGAGGTTTCTAACTTGTATTGTTGGAGGTTCAGCTTTCAGCTGGTTTTATAATTTCCTAAAATTAGTTTAAGACTACTCATTGCTTCAGACAAAAGATGATGAAAGACTTCATATGGATGTTTCCTCATTTGTTGCAGTTACTTATGGTAAAAGATCTACAATTTAGCAGTGGGATAATCCCTGGATTAGAATAATGTGTTTTCAGAAAATACTTATTGAACAAAACCTCTATTGGTTTGAAGATGATGTAGTCATCTACTTACCTGAAGTGAATCTCTCCCAGTAGAGAGAGAGCTTCATCTGGCCAGCCCACTTGCAGAAGTGTTGTCATGTTGAGAAACATTGTCTGTAGTTTTATTTTCATGTGGAAAGAGGCTCTCTTCCTGGTCTTCCCCACAGCAAAGTGGCTTGAAATTCTCTGTAGAAGTTGCCGTGCCGTTTGGTGCTCTCTATATGAGTTTTGCTCAGAGCATGAATGGTTAACCAGATTTTTCCCACCCATAAAATAATTCTATTCTAGTAACCTTAAGAACATAAGTTTGTAATCATATCTTGCATATTTCTTCCCTACGATTGGAAATGTTTTTATTTGTGTCTTCTGTGATGGAGTGACTAGCTGGGTAGATGAAGGGAGAGCAGTGGATGTAGTTTACCTTGACTTCAGTAAGGCTTTTGACACTGTCTCCTAAAACATCCTCATAGTGAAGCTCAGGAAGTATGGGTTGGATGAGATGGATCGAGAACTGACTAAGCAACAGAGTTCAAAGGGTTGTGGTCAGCGGTGCAGAGTTGAGTTGGAGGCCTGTATCTAGTGATGTTCCTCAGGGATCAGTACTGGGTCTGGTTTTGTTCAACATCTTCATCAAGGACCTAGATGAAGGGTTGGAATGTACCCTCAGTAAGTTTGCTGATGTTACAAAACAGGGAGGAGTAGCTGATACACCAGCAGGCTGTGCTGCCATTCAACGGGATCTGGACAGACTGGAGAGTTGGGCAGAGGGAAACGTCATGAAATTTAACAAGGACAAGTGTAGAGTTCTGCACCTGGGGAGGAACAGCCCCATGCACCAGTACAGGTGTGGTTGACCTGCTGGAAAGCAGCTCCATGAAGAAGGACCTTGGAGTCGTGGTAGACAATAAGTTATCCATGGGACAGCAATGCACCCTGGTGGCCAAGAGGGCCAATGGTATCCTGGGGTGCATTAAGAAGAGTGTGACCAGCAGGTTGAGAGAGGTTATCCTCCCCCTCTACTCTGCCCTGATGAGGCCTCATCTGGAGTATTGTGTCCAGTTCTGGGCTCCCTAGTTCAAGAGAGGGAACTTTTGGAGAGAGTCCAACAGAGGGCTATGAAGATGATTAAGGGACTGGAACATCTCTCATATGAGAAAAGGCTGAGGCCTGGGGCTCTTCAGTCTGGAGAAGAGAAGGCTGAGAGGGGACCTTATCAATCTCTATAAATATCTGAAGGATGGCTGTCAGGAGGATGGAGCCAGTCTCTTTTCAGTAGTGCCCAGTGATAGGACGAGGGGCAGTGGTCATAAACTGCAGCACAGAAGTTCCACCTCAACATGAGGAAAAACTTCTTCACTGTGAGGGTTATGGAGCACTGGAAGAGGCTACCCAGAGAGGTTGTGGAGCCTCCTTCTCTGGAGGCCTCCAAAACCTGACTGGACACGTTCCTGTGCAACCTGCCCTAGGTGATCCTGCCTTGGCAGGGGGGTTGGACCAGATGATCTTCAGAGGTCCCTTCCAACCGCTACCATTCTGTGATTCTGTGTCACATAAGTAAGTTTCTGGCAGCAGTAATCAATTTTCTTATATGAAAAACCTTGCCCTATCTTAGCTGTGCTTCATCCTTTTGAATGAAATTCTCATTCGTAAGAGTACCATTGATCTTACCACTAATGATACTTCCTTTCCAAAGATACCAATCTTGCTAGTCTGCCTCTGTTGGCTAACATTGTACTGTAGCTTTGCCAAATAGTTGCTCTGTAGTGATTGTGCTTTATGCAGCATAATGACCTATGCTTATTTCCTAATTAGATTGACCGCATAGACCTCTGCTATCAAATTTGAATACTTTAGAACTTGAACCCACATGAGAGCAAAATGCTTATTAATATTCATTTGGTAATGGACTACTTTGATCATCTTTCAAATATTAAAAAATTAATTTTTTGTATTGCGAAAGGAACAGTTTGCAAAACCAACTGAACATGAAATTGTTTAATGCATCAGAAACGTCCTGCCTTAGTTGCCTGTTATAACTGACAGAATGCTGCTAGTTAGAAAAGGCCAGTGCTATTGCAGAAGTCAGAGATTATGTTATGAGTGAAATTTACCTTTTTTGAGGCTTTGGATCAGAAGTCTGACAAATACAAATACTTTCATTCCTTTTCCCACACACTATTCCCTACTGTAAGTTTCCAGAGTAGTAATAAGCAAGGCATTAAAATTTTGAAGGGCCTAGTAAATGTCACTGAGTAGTCGTGTCTGAAGATGATGTTCGGAATTTCGCTCAGTATTTGCATGCTCTGTAGTAAATAAGAGGGTGAGTAGAGGAAAACTGTGAGTCTTACTGCTAGAGCTAGGCAGCCTATTTAAAAAATAACAGCTGTGAGGAGGTGTGCAGTTTCATATTTTAGCAAAGGACTAATGCAGATGTGCAGGTGGCAGGATGAAGATAGCAACTTTTACATCAAAATTCTTGAAAGGCATATTTCGAAGAACAACATTTATTGCTTTAAAAACAAGGGAAGCTCTAATAAAAATCCCAAACTTCTGAGTAGGGTTAAGACATGCTTTCTGTACACAGGGAAGTAAAACTAATTAATGAGAGCCTAACAGTAGCTGCTTGTAGCACTGGAGAAGTTAAGCAATCTCAACTGTAATCTGAAGGACTCAGAGTAGTATCTCTGGAATTCTTGCTTGTTCCATGTAGTTAGGATATACATGATATACATGATCTGTTAAGCTCCTCAGGCTTATAGCATGGCAAAACTTTGTTTGACTTTAGCAGGAACATGCTCATAAATGCCAATAAAAAGATGAAATCCTGTTTTCACAGGAAAGGAGACCTAGAGGTTCTTAGGGAAAATGTTGCCAGAATCTTATGAATAAATAAAACTTTTCTGAATGAGAGTTAAATAAAATGTCTGGATCCTTACTTATATCTAAATATCTTCTGCTGAGAATGGAGCCTGCCCAGCTGGCTTCTGTTCTGCGTTCACTTACAAGTAAGGCTTACATGAAGTTTGTTCATAGTGCCACTGTCCTTTTCTGTCATACTTTGACTTCGTGTGTGAACGACTTGCCATCCCATTTGGATCTGAACTATGAAAAAGGGAATGAGGAAAAGGAGAGCTATGATAGTGCACTGTAGCTATTTAATGGGTTGCTCAACTTAATGGGTCTGTCACTGCAATGTATTACCAACAAAAATGTATTACCAACTACAGATAGTTCAACTAGTAAGTATATTGTTACATCCATCACATATTGCTTGAATGGCTGGAGCAAATACTTGTGTAGTGGAGAAGAAACTTTTTAAACGGAATTAAAAGCTCTCTGTGAGAAAACAGAACAGCAGCAACAAAAAACCCCATGCCCACATACCCACAAGAAAAGCATGACAGGTGATCAGTATAGTAAACTCTTAATGAAATTTAGCCAATTGGGCTTAAGTAACTGAAAAATAAATCTGAAAAGTGGAAGGATTAACTAATGTCTGCCTACCATGACTGCATGTTATTGTGGACTGTTATTCAAGTTCTAATGGCTCAGAAGCTATCTAAATATGATATAGGTATTTAGGAGTTCATTTTCCCAGTGACAGAGAGACAAATTACATAAATAACAGGAATTGTCACTGGAGAAACTTAAACTTAAGCTTGCAGCACATCTGTGACCTCCTTATATTGCAATTAAGTAATTCAGGTCCTCAGCAGTCACGTGGTTCTGTCCCTGGAACCTCTTTGTCATTCAAGTTTCTAGAAAACCAAATTAACGGAATTCTACTGCTACTGCTCTATAGATTTCCCTCTTCTCTTCCCCACTCTTTAATTAATTCCTGTTCCTGGAAATACTTGCTGGTGTCCAAACAATTTGACTACCTCAACTATTAAGCTATAGATTGTTAAATAATACTTAGTCTGCTCTAGTTTTTGTTCTGAGACAAAAAACCGTGAAGTAGATCACTTATGGGCTTTTTAGTACTTTTTAGCTTTTCTTAGTAGTTAAGGGCTGAAATGCTATGTCTTCAGCATTTTTTTGACCAGTGAAATTACAAATAATCATAGATAAATTGAAGACAGCATTTTACGTGATAAACTTACTTACCAAAAAATGGCAGGAATGGGACTGTGTGGACTTGTTTTTCACCTGGAAACCAACTTAAAATACCACAATCACATAGGAGGTGGCTTGCTTAAGCTTTGGAAGATGGCTTGCAACAGGCTTTCATGACAAACTACTTTTTTGGAATGTCTGAGCCATATTGACTGGAAAAGAAATAACTGCAACACTATGCACACCTGTCTACATAAATCTGTACATATGCTACAAAAAAGCATTCCTCTAGGAAAATCGGCAAAAAATAAAATCAAGTGATAGTGCATAATACTAATTTCAATTAAATGCTACATGGAAACTCATGATTCAGAGAAATAATACCTTGAGATAAAATTGTGCTGTTAAACTTTTGCAAGTCTATTGACATTGTTTTCCTCTGTGCGAAAAATTTTGTATTGGACTCAGATTTCTTCAAAAACTGAAGATCATCTCAGGCAAGAGAGCAATTAGTTTGCTTGTTTGTATTTGTTCTTCACAGTGAAGATGTGCTTATTACTGAAATGTATTAAAAATATAAATACCATATTTTAACGTTGCTCTGTGAGAATACACTTACATAAAAAGGGAATTGAGCTTGACTCATGTCCTTAAGTTCAGGTTCAGTCGTTAATGCCTTTTTTGTAATTGTGTCCACTCTAGGTTCTTGTGTTGTTCGAGATGCCACAGGGAACGTTAACAACACCATTGTCACTGAGCTGACAAATTGCACTGCTGCAGCTTGCAAATTAAACTATGATTTCTCCTCCTGTCAGACAGGGTGTCAGTATGGGCTGATGAACAATTTCCAGGTATAAAACTTCTTCCTAAATCTGTTTATTTGCTGTTGTGCTTGTTGTGGTTTTGAATTGCATATGAAGAAAAATCATAGGCTAAAAATGCCTATCTCCATAAATATAAGATTTATCTGGAATATTTAAGTGGTACACTAGCTAATATGTAGAAGAACAATGTAACTATGTTAAAAACTTCTGGATGTTCATACACAGGTGGTATAAATATTTACTCTTCATCTGAGTAAACTTCTGCTTAGGTTAGGGGGTGTGACTACAACTTTGTCTTTTTAGATATCTGAATGTCATCATTCAGTCATGTGGATAGAAGTACTCATTGTTCAATAGTGATTCATAGTAATCATAGGTAGAACTTGTTCCTTAATTTTTTAAGTTTCTTAGAAAATATGCTGACTTTTTAAGGCTGTTTTACATATTTGTCACAGTATTCTCTTTAGTGGTAACAACGTTGTGGATTTTCGTAAAACCTGATGTTACTGTATTTAAAAATTCTCTAAAAGTCAATGGGTAATTCATAGTCCTCAATTTATACTTCACAGGTAATTGGGGTGTCCATGAACTATTGGTAATGGATTGAAAGAAACAATGGAAAACCTATTTAATGGCAATAGACTTAAACTTGCTTTATATGGTAGTTCATCTTTGCCCTAAATTTTTCTAATAGGTGTACAAAAAGTTGGCTAGAGATCAAGCTGAAATCCATTAATGAAGAAGGTGTCTGGCATATGGGTTTTGATCAGAAATACATGTGGTACATGTACTCCTTACATGTACTATTTCTGTGTTAGGCTGACAGCCTTACCTGCAAAGCTCATCAAGAAACCTATTTTGTACATGCTGAATTAATGTTGCAGTGCAGACCATTCTAGTGGAATAATTTGAGTATCTCTTTGGTGTTGCTTTGTTCTGGTTTAGACAAAGTCCATATTTTGAAACACTTCAGAATTGCTCTTGTGCAAAATCTGATAACTTGCTTAATTTGTTTAAGCTTGAAAGAACCCAGTATATCATCAAATGTACAGCTGAGAATAGTGTGGAACAGGTTTCCTCTGATTGTATCTCTCTCTTTAAGTCGTAACTTTGGTGAGGTTGTTTACCATAAATGTTGCTTGTGCTTCTAGTAAGTTAGTCATTAATGTTCTAGTTTCTTAGCATTTGGTCTAAAGAGTACTTCTGTCTCCCAAATTATTCTTGCTTCTCTCTGTGGAAAAACTAGTGGGTTCTGAATGGGAAAAGTCACTTTCAAGGCCAGGGGCTGCACAGGGAATGCAGTGCCTCTTACGCCGCCCTTTTTGTTGGGCTTTTAAAAACTTCATTGTAGAAACTGCATAGCATCTCTGGGCAACCTGTTGCAATGCTTACCCACTTTCTCTGTGGAATTTTGTTTTTCTAATACCCGTTGGAATTCCCTTGCTTGTTTTTCCGATCATCCTCACAGCTTTTGCTGTGCATCTCTGAAGAGTCTGATTCTATCTTCTCAGAAGAGGTTAGAAGGAAATCGTTTGTGTGAGAGGCTGCCTACCTATGGATAAACTGTTGTCCATTTTCTAACTGAACTGCCCTCAACTTAGTAGCTGTGAGTAGTAGCTGTAAGGAGAGGGTTTTTTTTATATGCAAGGCATGGGCCAGGGAGGCTCCAAGCTTGTGTACCCCTCAAGATCTTCATACAAACATAACTTCTTTCTGTAGATTAAATAACTCAGAACAAATACTTCACAAACATAAATAAATCCCTAAAGTGAGTGAAAATTGTTGTATTTGTCTTAGAGCTTGTAAGCATGCAGGTTCTGAGGTCAGAGTGCCACCTTACTTGTGTGCACAACCTTATGACTTTATCACTTTGGTACACTTTGCTAGAAGAACTGAATGCAGCACAAAGAATTGATTTGAAGTTAGTGCTTAGGCAGCTCAGGTTTTGAGTGTGTTTGGGCAGCAAATGAATGACTTGTAGTATGATTTACCTGTGGAAAGCTTAGATGATGCTATAAAACTTAACATTGGTGAGACAGGCTTAGTCAGGCTTGCATAGTAAGACCCTCTTTAGTTTCTGTTGTAGTCAACACAAATGAATTGCAGGTCCTCACAGGCTTCAGACACTTCTTTGCTCAGTGTCAGTGACATTTCTGTGCCCAGACTGTCACCTTGTAGAAGAGCAACTTCAGAAACTTGATTTGAGCTCTGTAGCCTCAGCCTGGAACTTCCCTAGGATAAGTTATACCTTTAGATAATTTTAATGCAGAACTTGGTCAACTTTGCATGCAAGTTGAAAGTAGCATGAAACTCTACTCTAGAAACAGTGTAAAAGTTCTGCTAAAACATTTCTCCTACAAAGGAAGGCAGCCATAAAACATTTGAAAAATGTTAGGGGAAGGGAGAAGTGAGCAATGCTTTGTCCATATTCTTATAAAAAAAAAATCTACATTTAAAGAAGCTGCTGCTTCTTTTTTGTGGCATTTTTTTCTACTCCACAATGGCTGGACAAAACAGCTGAAACTGTAGTCAAAATATAATACTTCATTTTCCCAAATATTTGAAGTGTAAGAAACTGTCTAAAGAGTAAATACCAAGCCTACACTGAGTCCATTATCAACTAGGTATCTATCTCACCACACCAGTGGCAACAGAGCAATCCTTACTACATAATCAAGACAAGCTTGAGAAGTGGGCCCATGTAAGCCTCATGAGGTTGAACAAGGCCAAGTGCAGG